TTCCTTCTTCTTCAAAACCACAAAAGAACACCTAAACACTCTATGTAAGATCAAAAATGCACTCAAGATGGCTAGGGTTTCGAGATTAGCACTAAAAGGAAATGGAGGCTAAAAGGGTGATGCACTTGAAGGACTTAAGGATCTTAAATAGGGTTCCAACCCTAAAAATTAGGGTTTTCCCTTGGCTTGATTATACGCATGGGTACGCCCATCATATGTTGGGATCACCCTAATGAAGGGCATGCAATGAGTAGGCCATGCATACCTAATGTACGCCCAACACACTCACAAACCCTTAACCACCTTTAAAAATGAATCAAATTGAATAACAAATTTCATACCTGGAGACTCAGGTGCTACACAATGAAAAACATTTCTTCGGAAATACTTTTATGGGACCAAATTCCGCATTTATAACTAAACTCTGTTTTAAATAAGCACAAACAAAAAGTTTTAAAATGACCGTAAATTTGGGGATGTCACATTCTCCAAACACGGACATATGTAGAAATACCCCTTAAAGTCGGATATCCACCTTATAGCAACAATCGGGTCCTTAACCCTATCAAACCTCAGGAGCTTCATGTTACTGAACTCTCGGTATTACATCAACCCTCCTCCTTGAAGTCATGTTGTGGTGACAGCTTGAGTGGTTGCGGCATCAACAACATCAGTGACAACAACACAACACTCGTTGAAAATCTCGATCATCGTGGTCTTCATAGACCCAAACATATCCAGAATTTCCTCCATGACTGCCAGAGTCACTTGCGTACTGATCAAATCTTGGATATCATCGTCACTCAACCCTGACCTCTCTGAGCCATCAGCACCTGAACTAGAACCTCTCGTCATCACCATACTTAAAATAAACATGGGACGTGTTAAAATCAAAACATATCATAACACACTATGTGCTCAACTACTTACTCATCAGAATTATGTAACCTTCCATGACACACGTATGGGTCGTGTGCTTTCGGTAGTATAGGCCCAAACAGCTTTCCGTATCTACTCGTATTTCTCTCAAGGATCACCACAAAGTCCCTAGCCACTAGGCCCACTATGACTAGACATACTATCACGCCCCAATACACACTCCAAAGACTAGAGTGACTACCAACTCCTAGTTTCCTATAGGATTCTCTTAGCCACACTCCCATAACTCAAGAAACCTCCATTAGTACTGCGGTCTCCTTACGTATGTTAAGCGTACATAATTTCGAATTCGATAGACAGTCGAATAATTGATTTTACCCTAAGCCCACTAACAAACAATGTAGCACCAAGTTCCAAGTATAATTACTTTTATGGAAGTAAACATTTAAGGCTTATATATAAGGCTTGTTAAAGGCACGACGTGGTGATGATAGCACCACTACGTGGTGTCGCCTAAGTGAAACGCGTATTTTTCTTGAGTGTCATGGCGTAGCAAGATATTGGCCACGATGTGGCATCCTTCTGCACGAAAAAAGCCTAATTTTTTAGGCTATAAACCCCATTTAAGGGATGTGATGGCTAGGGTTTACACACCCTCAGCCCCCATCACCTCCCTTTTACCCCAAACAAACTCTAGCATGCATTGTTGAGTTTTTAAAGCTTTGGTGTGGTGATTTTGGTGCTTTGAAGGAGAAGAAGAGGTTCATTGAGTGTAGATCCAACAAACAAACTCCTCCTCCATATTCTAACACATATTATGGACCATTGTGAGTCTTCAAGATCTAATCGTTATTTGTCATGTTTCTAGATCTAGACTTTTATTCTTTATTCTTCATGTTTGGGTTAGTTAGTGTGGTGGGATATCATAAAGTTGGAAAAATTATGGATCCTTGAGGTCCCCTTTAGGTAATATATGATTGATTTTCGATTCCTTGAATGAGGTTTTGACCTTATTTTCATCATTTTTGACATAGTCGGAGTTCAAAAGATGCATTGGAAATGCATGTCTATAAAGCATCGATTTTTATGATCATTAGGTGAGAGAAAGCCTTCTGGAAAGTAGAGATAAGTAGCTTGAAGGATTAAGATCTTAATGCATTAAGCTGGTTATGACAGTTCCCACGACGTGGAGATTTAGCTTCCAAGACGTGGCGTTAAGTGATCTTCGCAATTGCTTTGTCGTGGGGTCACCACGGCGTGGAAAATGCTTAGCCACTACGTGGTGACCAGGTGAAAGACTTTTGGTCGTTGACTTTTGACTTTTTGAACAAGTTTGACTTTAGGTCAATTTGATGGATTTGGGATGTAGATTAAGAACTGGTCCTTGATTATTATATATGTGAATCGTAGAACCATTTCTTGGATTATGTGAGTTGTGTTGTTTATCTGCTAGACTGCAAGGTGAGTTTTCTCACCATACATTATACTGCAATATGCATCCTTATGTGTAGGATGGTGATATGTTTTAGTGATCTGTTAGATTAGTAGATCTGTATGATTACATGTATTATTGGTTATTGTTTGTTTGTTTGCTTATGTCGACATATTATGGTAGGGATGAGGTGGTCCTGCTTTGTGTTGTAAGCCAAGATACTCGGGCGGTCCAGTGTACTATAGGCCTTACGAGGCGGTCCACTCAGACTATAGGACCAGGGGAGCGATCCAGCTACCGTAGGCCTTACGAGGCGGTCCAGTAGACTGTAGGCTCAGTAGAGCGGTCCAAAAATCTTGTAGGCCTCGCGAGGTGGTCCAGACAGACTGAAGGCTTATGTGTGCATGCATTGTATGTGTATTGTTGTATGGGTATTTTTTTAGGGGGGGGGGGAGGAGGGGGGACTTACTAAGCTTTGGCTTATAGTTGTGGATTTAAATGTTTCAGGTACTTCAGATGATTGGGGCAAGGCGAATGCGTGATCGTACACATCCTCTTGCTGATTTATGTTTGAGAGATGATATTGATAGTCTGATTTTTATGACTATGTTTTGAAATAATTGTTGATTACTTCATGGGTATTATGAAAATGTCTTTTGAAAAACGAAAAAAATTTACTATGGTTTTTGGGACCTTACAAACAAGGAACGGGAAGTAAGGCTAACGCAGGCATTCTAAGGCTATAAAATCCTAATTATGTACAATCATGATGCATACACTTAGTTACTAGCAGCAATGATGTTAGTTTCATATAACACAATTAAACAATCCCCTAGGCTATCCGATATCACAAATCATGCAGTTATATCATGCAATTTATGAGGATCCCTTGTCTATGAACTAACATGCAGTTCTAACACTTAACATACCAACAATATACATATAATAAGTGTAGGTATCTTGGGGAATAATTTTATCTTGATCCATGACTGACTGTATACATCGCATCCTCCTTTTTATTATTATTGAAAATGGTTGCAAAAATATTTTTCAAATCCATAGTTTGAGTCTGGAATTACACAAATGTTTATCCAGATGCCTCGAGGCCACAAAACACCTCAAATGAGCTTCAAGATGAACACAAAGAGACTAGGGTTGGTTTACGGTCTTTGGGGAATGATGGAGGCTGGGGGTGGACAAACCCTAGCCTTCACATCCTTTAAATAGAACTTTAGGCCCGATAATTTGGGTTTTACACTCCAACCGTTGCCATATCATGGTGAATACAAGATGCGCGTTTCTGTTCTGATGTGACTATGTCATGGTGCTCCTCCGTCACCACGTTGTGTTCACCAAAAATCTCATATTTTGAGAGTCTAAAAATGATATAATCCCGAAAGAAACATTCGTAGAATGAGTGTTACATAATTTGCCAAGTCTTCTCGAAGTTGCATGTGTTTTCGTGTATCTTGAATATCAACGACTCTATGTAAATATATTGTTGTCCCTGGTTAAAATTGCATATGTCTTAGTTCGTTAGACATATACTCTACAATATTTCTTCATTTATATTCAATCATCATGCTATGCATTATAATACATGCATACATAATATCTTGTGGAGTGCCTATCTCATATGGTCATGTCAAATGCTCAACTATGTGTCATTTCGACTTTATAACTCCAAAAGCACATTCTACATCGTACTGACCAAAATAATTATCATCTTCATCATCATCGTTGGACGGGTCGAACACATCCATTTTTTTGGAGAAGTATTGAAATTTTATAAAATATAGAGAAAGATAAGAGCATGTTGTGAATAAAAATGAGGTAGACTATATGTATTTTATAGGTAACAAAATATTAAGAATCTTTTAATCTCCACAATTTTATAAATTATTATTATTATTATTATTATTATTATTGAAAAACTGACCGTTAGACTAATCGGTATGGTCAACAGCATTGTGAGGTCAGGTAAGCACCAAAAACCTTTTAATCTAAATGATGAATCGAATTAACTAAAAAGTATTTGAAAATTATATTCTAACAATATATTTTTAACATATTCGTCTAGTATGTAATAGTTCAATGCACTACAAATCATTATTTGGTTGTTTATACTTTGGCTTCGAAGTTGGTGAAGAGTAACATGCATCTGATTAGCGACATATAACGTGGTCACTAATTGGAAAATTCCATCGCTACGTTAGCCACAATAAAATTTGCCACTGCCCTAAATTAGATTAGCGACGGATTTTGCCTAAAACTTCTGTTTTTTTGTAATGGATTTAGATCATTCTGACCGATTGTTTTACACTCAATATATGAATTCATACCATTTTCTGATGGATTTTCCCATTTAAAGAGTGGATATTCCTGCAACTGAAATAGAGATTTGAGCATGTGGTTCGTCAGATTTCACCATCTAGATAATAAATAAAATACAATCGAAATAAATAATTGGCGTTCATGGTACCAAAAAAAAAAAAGGACAGCTAAATTGAAGGTTTATGGGTGAATATTATTTTTTGCCCTACCAATTGACCAAACACCCCTAGAAATTAAGGCCATTTACTCTGTCCAACTGCCCAATTTTGGCTTTAAAAAGGGCATTCCCATATTCAAAAATCTTGCATCCGACACATACGCTTATAGCCAGGTAAACAAATATAAAAAAAAGAATATGGCAAACTGGCGTTTCATGTTACTGGTTGTTTTAACAGCAGTAGTAGTAGAAAGTACTATTGCCAGAGACCTTCCTAGTGACACCAACAAAGCTGCTGTCGGTCTAACTGAACAAAAGAACATTGTCAGTTTTGGTGGATTGGGTGGCTTTTCTGGCTTTGATAACAACGGCCAACCCATTGGTGGTGGTGGCGCCGGACTTGGCATAGGCACCTCCAATGGGATCGGAGGTGTAGGTGCTGGTTACCAATTTGGTGGACCTGGTGCAGCTGCTGGTGGTGTAGGAACTTTTGGAGGTCTTGCTAATGGTTTTGCTGGCTTGCCGGCTCTAGGTGGCGGTGGAATTGGTGGTGGTGGACCTGGTGCCGGAGATGATTCTGGTGCAGTTCCACTTCCTTGAAAATGGTTGTAGTAACCATAACTGTGTTAGTTTGTGTTTCGAGAAGGTATTGTTGGTTTATTTGTTGCTTCGTGAACCATGTCGTTTTGTTACTAGCTACCTAAACAAGAGAACATTGTTCTTTTAGTTGTAACTGCATGTAAGGCTATTTTTGTCATTTCCTATGTGGCGTATTTGTTGAATGTTATAGGTTTATTTAAACGTAATTTCTTCTATTAATGTCAAAGTATCCATAAATAGTTTGGGTAATACCGTGTGTCTTTCAATTCGTTTACGACAATATACTAAACATATATAATGCTGTTCGACGAATATAATTAATTCAGGGCTAAAACTTGAGATATAACTGAAGTATTTCAAAATTCATGTACATAAATCTTAACCATATGTGAAAATATAAAAGGAAACAAAAAGAAAATTTTATATATGGTGTATAGTTACTTACGTGGTTGTGCATGCACATTATACGTGATGAAAACAACTTCATCATTTTGACAGGAGTAATGTCATTATGCCAATGAACACAAGTCTATGGTAGTTGTTAAACAATTTAATGAATTTTTATTTATTATTCTTTTTTTAACATACAAATATAAATTTAGTTTGAGCCTTGGAGGTAAAAACTAATAGATAATTACTAAAATGACCGAATTGAGAGAGGTGTCTGCCTATGTGGAGACCAAATAATCATATTTTTTGAAAACTATCAAAAACTAATCTTAGGTTTTTTGTGAAATTACTCACTACCGAGCTATTTCTTTAACAAAATATGCATATACACAAAATATAATGAATTCCACATTTGCAGAATAACTGTTAAAGAGCACCGAGTGGTCGTCATGTAAAAGGTAGTCATTAATTATTATAAGGACTCCCTTTAACCTTAATGGTTAAGATTATATACGGTTTGTTCATTTAATTTGATTTAAGTTTTAAAATTATTTAACCTAATTTTTATCACCGACAACAACAAATTTCATGTTATATTTTTTTTAAGGTCACTGAACTTTATTTTTTTGGCATCGAACTTTTGTTTTTGTTTTTTGTACAATTTCTTTTTATAACTTTTCTTAATTCGTTTTATATGTTTTTTTTCACACAATTTGTTTTTACAACTTCATCTTTTAATTAGTTTTTACAACTTTATCTTTTTAATTTATTTTTACGTCTTTTTCCCAAAATTATTTTTAAATTTAATTTTTTTTTTTTATCTCGTATTTACATGTTTTTTTACAATTTTACTTTTTATATGTTTTTTACAATTCGTTTTTATAAGTTCATTTTTCTATATACTGTTTAGAAATTACTTTAAAAAAAAAAAAAAAAAAAAAAAAAAAAAAAAAAAAACTTTTAGTTGGATGACCAGATGATTAATGATAAAAAATAAATAAATAAATAAGCTTTAGCATATTGAAAGTAGAAAATTAAACTTCTAGTTCGATTTTGATTTAACTGAAAATCGAACAGAAACATGTTCAACCTTATAAGCTATATGGTGATTTGAAAATACTTTTGATTAATTTCAACAAAATCATATATATGATTAAGTAAGACATCGAGATGGATATAGGACATGGTGTCGTTCTCCCCAATTTGGCTTGTGTTCGGTTATCTCTTCAACTTGATCTAATATTATTTTAAACAAAATTTACCATAACAAATCTGGTAACTGTCAAATAATAAACAGATTTATAGTTCTTACTATTCTATATCTAACTAGGACCAAGAAACGACAACCAACTTAGTTAAATCACCATAAATAAAATATTTAAAGCTCAGGCTTTTAGTTGTTGCCTTTCATTTGAGATAATAAATGATAGCAAGATTAATTATTACTTTTTACATTTATTTTGCTGTGAGAGCACCCACATTCGGGTGATTGCAATTGAATTTGCCACATACACATATGGGCATTCAAGTAAGCCTTGCAAATTATTTTTTGAAAAGGCCAAATATATTTTTTGAAATGGTCTTTGTAGTTTGCACAAATTTTGCATTGGTCCCTATAGTTTATTTGGTACGTTTGTTATCCCTAACATTTGTTTTTTAATACGCGTTTGGTCCCTACGTCTGTCTGCCGTTAGCTCTTTCAGTTAATACACCCCACGTGTCTATAGGGATGGCAAAAAAACCCGAACCCGACTGGGAAACCCGAAACCCGATCATTTCGGGTCGGGTAACGGGTCGTTATCAGGTTTTTTATCGGGTTCGGGGCAGGGAGTGGGTTATCCTCGCCCCGACCCGCCCCGCCCCGATTATATATATATATATATATATATATATATATATATATATATATATATATATATATAATATGTTCAAAAAATTTTGCTGTTAATTGTACACGTTCAAATATAAAATACTTATCGTGGACAATTTTTTTAGTTATTAACAATCTGGTGTTAATGATCATTTTTATGTGTTTTGACGTATTAAACAAACCTTAAATCAAATAATTTTTTATATAACGTCCAGTTTATTTTATTAAAGTGATGCATCATGTTTTTAATTTAAAACAGTTGCTAGAACATGTATATTTTATAAGACATTGGGGTACCCTAAAAGAGAATAAAGATTTCATTATCAGTTGTTGTAAACCCGATAAGATACCCGAAACCCGACGGGGAAACCCGAAACCCAATGGGGCGCCCCGATAAGATACCCGAAAGTTATCGGGACGGGTTTGGGAATCCATGCCCCGCCCCGAACCCGCCCCATTGCCATTCCTACGTGTCTAGCATGTCAGGGGTATTTTTGTCTTTTTAAACATGACGTCTAATATGAAATAGACTCTAATCTTTTACCATTCCGACCGTTGTCTTCCTCACGTCAAAACCCTCTCCCAAGCAATGATGGTTAGATGGAAGATTAGAGCATCTATGGATGAAATCGACTTCATGAAGCATACGGTAAGCATATAATTTTTGTTCATTATATTCATTTTAGAACATAAATGTATTAAAGTAAAGCTCAAGTTTTTCTCTCCATAATGTGTCACACCCCCAAACCTGAACGGCGGAAACGTTCGGAGGCGGAAGACGTTATGTGCAATATTATAACAATTGAATAGTAAATAAAGCAAACACAACCATCATATACGTAATTGAAAAAGTTAAATCATTGTACACGTTACATGTTTCTAAAATGTCAATTACATTATGATGACAAAAGATTTTCTTAACGTCTTAGCGTCAAATCTTCAAAAGCTGTTAATAACCTGTTTTATTGGTTTCCGAATATAAGTTATTTGAGAAAAAAAATATCAACATTTAAGTTGGTGAGTCTAAAAGCATTTGTATGAATAAATATATGTCATTTAATGAGATGAAATCACGTTTGTTTCTAGAAAATTTGATATTTTCTATAAAATGAGTTATAATCCGTTTGTTTATAAAATGAGAGTGTTTATTCTAGAAAATCCTATATTTTCCATAAAGCTGAATTGTAGACTGTTTGTTTGTAGAGTAATTGTATTTATCCCAAAAAATCCTATATTTTCCATAAAGATGAATTGTAAACTGTATATTTGTAAAGTAATTGTATTTATCCCGAAAAATCATATATTTTCCATAAACTGAACTGTAATCTTATACATACCAAGACCGAAAAGTACAAGTATATATGTCATACTTAGTTTTATAACATGCAGTTTTATTCGAAAATAAAATCGTTTGAAGAGTTGTGTGTTTACGTAAAATAAACGTACTATCGATTTCACGTAAAAATAACGTATTGTCATTTATCATGTGAGTTCGCATGACCGTGTTGAAAATGATTTGTCTGCCTCGACGTTCTTCAGACGTCGAAAAGATATGACATTTATCACCCCTAACCTGCCGGTCGTGTTGTAGCTAACAACAGTGTGTGGGATCATCAGCCTCGTATAGATCTATACACAAATATCACGCACTCCGAGAGGAGACTCAGGTTATAAAACATAACTTCCATGGATACCTTTGGTAAATGAAGACGAATGGCTCACAAGTATCCAACGATATACGTGTTTTTGTAATGAAATTTTCGTGCATGAAATTGTTACCCATTTCATCATATTTAATATATATATATATATATATATATATATATATATATATATATATATATATATATAACTGTATTTTTATATAATCATTTCTTCGTCATGAAAGGGTAAAATAATGTGAATGTTTTGTAAACTATACATATTATAGTTTAAAAGGCATTGTTTCATTAAAAATGATAACTGTTTCGTTTTAATATATTTTGCATGTAACCATTTTCAAATTTGATAATAACTTTATGCAGCATGTTTGATATTTCTACGTAAAAGATACTTAAACGTAATAAAACATAAAACGATAGTTTGTATATTAACACAAGTTTCTTGTTATACTGACATATTCTAAAAAATAATTTTAAAATGCAAAATAAATGGAAAAATCCAAAAATTCTTTTTTTAAATATTATTTTCGGAACTTGAATTAACTAAAAAAAATTTAAAAAATACGTCTCACGGTCTCACAAAATTAGATCGTCTCACATGAACCTAACCCTATATATATATATATATATATATATATATATATATATATATATATATATATATATATATATATATATATATATATATATATTATGATTTTATATTAAGTATTATAAATTCAAAAATATAAACTGTTGTTGATTATCAATTTTGTCAATGTATTATAAAGAAAACCACAAGATATATAACAAGAAAGCATAAAGAGAAAGTCCACTAAAACAGGAAGGTAAATATGGAGAGAATCACAAGAGAATATGGGACAAAAATACGAAAACCAATACTCCCCCTCAAGTTGAGGCCTGTAAATTGATAACGCCCAACTTGTCTAGTAAAAAACGAACTTGTGAAGCTCCAAGCCCCTTTGTGAGGAGATAAGCAAGTTGAGGTTTTGAGCCGATCATCATAGGATAAATTTCTTTTCATTCTACACATACACGAACATAGAAACAGTCAATTTCAACATGTTTAGTGCATTCAT